CACTCGAGGTCGACTCCTTGCGCCTCGAGGCGCGAAATACACTGACGACTCGATACACTTGTGGTATCTCTTAAGCCTCTTATCCTCCAATGGATAAGAAGGAATCTTGTCATGACTCAGCAATGAGGGGAGACGAACCGACTGGGGCAGTTTGGACATTTCAGGTAAACCGACCGGGGCATTTCAGATATTTCAAGTAAGTGTTCACTCCTATATAAAGGAGAGAAGGTAACCCTAAACCCTAACTTCCATTCATTCGCACTCTGCTCTATAGCTGTTGCTGCTCTCTCAGAGCAGCCTCTCTTCATCTCTTTCACATACTGACTTGAGCGTCAGAGGCTCTACGCCGGAAACACTTCCGGCGTTGAGTTCTTGCAGGTGTTTACAGCGGTCTAGCAACGGTTCGAAGGCGATTCAAGCAGAGCTGAGCTCAAAACCATCGGTTCTCTTCAGATCCAGAAGTAGACCCATCAAGGTTAGTATTTATTTTCTTAATTTAGTCTTTTAATCCCACTATTTATATATATATTTATATATATTCTTTTAAGGTGGGATTAACCGAATGGATGTGTATTGGAGCCTGAATTGCACTTACGATCCGTATGAAATGAGAGGATAAATAAGAGATTGATCAGGACACGTTCGTTACACTAGATAGAACAAGATTAAGACATTTATCTACCTTGGAAACGCGTTTGGTACGGGCGATTGATTAATAAGGGCCCGCGACCCAAAAGGCTTTAATATGCGTTTCCCCAAAGTATTCCATCCTAGGCAAAGGGGTGCGATTATGACAATTTGTACAATTGACTTAGTGTCATTTTTCTTATTAGCCCCAACTTTTTAAAATATTTACCATTACACCCTTGTCTATTATAAAAAATTCCTAGTGTCATTACCTTCATAACACAGAGGTTTGCAACTACTTTTCAACATTATTCCAAGAACCATCCTTCACTACCACCCTCAGACCACCGAGCAACGACGTCAGTCCCTCGCCTCCATCCACCAACCAACGTAGCCGCACTCTTCTGATAAGCCGCCATCCGCCATGCACTGGTCAACGCGGTCGTCACTCTCGTCATGCCTTTCCCTATTTAAAAATTTAATTTCGGTGCAATTTGGGCAAAACGTATACATAGTGGAGTTTGAGTTTTGGGATTAAACTTTTTGGAAAGACAGATTTTTGACTCAATTGCCAAACTCATTTGTCAGAGAAAAGAAATGAAGTGGTAAACACCAAATTTTTATAGGTCCTAACCCGTAAAAAAAGAAAAGAAAAGAAAAGAAAAGACACTAGAGCCCATCTAGCTGAGAGTTCCTAACCAGTAAACACCAAACTTTCAGAAAAAATGATTGTTTCTGCGATTTTCAACAATTTGATATACGAAGAGGTTTGATTCGTAATAATTAACCAATTTGAGTTGGATTTAGAAGAACAAAATTGCACAGACGCGAAAGGCTTTCGTCATAAGATTATGAAGGCCCAAATTGCACCAATTTGTTCGACATCTGATATCTTCGCATATGCTTCAATGGCTATTATGAAACTCGGATCTTGACAAACTTTAAAAGAAATCGAAGATTTAAGAACGATCAATAAAATGCTTTCTTGAGGCGATGTAATTGAAGATATCTACAGAAAATATATAGCTATATAGCTAGAACCAAAACGAAGCACAGAGATATTCATGAGGTTTGATTTTTTGGGGGAAATTTGTGGAGGTGATTTAGAATGGATTCAACTGAAGAAGTTTGGATCTCCATTGATCTATTGGGTGATTTTCATGAGAGATTGTTTTGGTGGGTTAAGGTTTTGGTGCGATCCTTGAGCGTGGAAGATGATACTCCCACACAGAAGAGAGGAAAAAATAATTTGGCCTTTTTTAGAGGGCAAGTTGGTAAAAATACTATTTATCCTGTCATTTGTCTAAGGCGACAAATCATAATATATTATATCCACAAAACCTTATCTTGTGTCAATCATACACAACAAATAAAGTGTGCACCATATTTCTACAATGCAAACCTTATCTGGTGTCAATCATACACAACAAATAAAGTGTGCATCATATTTATACAATACATGATAAAAATTATCTTGTCACATCCACCCTAATAAACGTGCCCTCATAGTACAAAGATCATGAGACTAGGTTGTCGTCTTTTGTTCGACGTGCCATTGAGATTGTTCGCGAAACTTTAAAAAGATAACCTATGTCATATCACTATTAAATATATAAAATACATATTTTTTTAACCTATCACTACCACATGTGATAAGCATCGAATTTACCGGTAGACTAATTTACCGCTAAGTCTACTTCTTACTCTGTATTAGCTGAAATATGAATTTTTGTTTTAATTAACTTGAGTAGGATAATTTTTGCTTTGTGTCACTGTTTTGTTTTATGATTTTGTGAATTCTTAATTGTGGATTTGTGAGCAGTGTTTACTAGAATTTGGAGGATAACCCGTGACTTTTAAGTTACTCTTATTTGTGTAGCCGTAAATGTGACGTGAGCCTTCTATGAATTACCACAGTAGAATTGGCAATTGTCATTTGGGCGGCTGCTTCATCTAAGATGAAATTTATTTTGATTTATAATAACTGCACCTTGTTAGAGATAATCGATTGTAAAAGCTGAATATTCAATGGTTCATTATACTTTAAAATGATGAAGATAATTATTTAATGAGACTTCATAATTATTCAATGGTCATGTACATATTCATTTGTGCAAAACTTTGAAGTTTTTAGCCCACCCTATTACTAATTTATTGATATAACCTTGAGAAAAGTCTTTATTTGACAAAACTTATGTTTTGAAAAACACAAACATAAGTTTATTATTCAATAACTCAAGTAAATATTTTTATTTATCAAATATGATGATTATACAATGTTTAGGTTGTCCCAATTTAGACTATGTACTGTTACCTTTTTAATGATAACATATATAAGGCTTGTTTGGAAACACTTATTGAGAAGTCCATTTTAAGATGGACTTTTTGAAAAGTGACTTCTCAAGAAGTTTTCAATGTAAACTTCTTTGAAATGGACTTTTTATGGGAGTTACTTTTTTAAAAGTCCATTTTGTTATTTGCACCAAACATCTTTTTATACAGTAAATGGACTTTTATAGTCAAAAGTTCATTACAAAAGTGCATCCAAACATACACATAGTATATTGTATTTGTAGTAGCCTAGTAGGGAAGAAAGTTGAGATGATCCAATCATAAACGGGTATAGAACCCGTAAACCCGGTTTGTACCCGAACAAAAAAAAACCCGATGCTTTCCCGTGTATTCAATTATTCAGTCCACAACTCTCTCGACTCTTTGCTATACTGTAGAAAATTGCAACTACACTCCTTCGACATTTATCACTCACTAGATCGGATGAGATAAGAGAGAGAATTTATAGATAGAGATAGAGCGAGCTGTCAATACAAAAAAAACAAGGAAGCATTATTGCCTAATTGATTATTGATTAGTAGCTCTTTTATTCTCCGAGTTTGAAAACACTGCAAAACTCTTGTTGTGCTATCCTTCTTATCAATTTCAAGTTAAGCTGCTACTGGTGGGTGTTCGGGCCTAATCAAAGGGTTTCTGGGTCCTCGTATTTTCAATCATGGAGTTCTTTGACAGTGATTTGGTTTTTTGGTTTCTAATTACTGTTTCTGAAATTGGGTTTACTGGGATATTGTTGGGAAGATTTGATTTTGATTTCAATTCTCCAGGGATTTTACTTCAGGCATCTTTTGATGAGTGGGAATTCATGTTTGATGCTTGAATTGTTTCTCCATTTGGTTCGCTTCTGGAATTTAATTCTTTAAACCTTATCTGGAATATTAACGCCGATGATCAATTGAAATGGGTACTTGATTTCTAATATTGTTCTTAACCAGAGAAGGTATTTTTCATTCGGTGTTAGTCCCATCCTTTCAGAAGGGGCAAATTTTAGATCGATAAACGTTTTAGATGATGGGGAGTTGAAGAAACTTGAGACTGAGATTAAACATGTGTGATTCTGTAATTTTCAATGGATTTATTTAATTACGCTGCTAACTGGAAGTTCATCTGTTTGTTACTTTGGTCAAGGGTGAAAAATTTTAATCTGCATTTACACTCAACACAATGATTCTCTCTTTAATTTCTTGAGATGGGTTGAAATGACTGCTCAACATTAATTATTGTTTTAATGAGCGAGTATTGGTCAATTATTTCCTGGGGTTGTCTTCTCCTTCCCATTGTTATTATGTTATCGTGATGATTTTATGTAAGTGATCTTTACTGACATTTTGCTTTATATATTTCAGCTCATTTTATTAGTTCAGTTTAGGCCACAGTTGGTACTGTGATTTTCTTGGGTTTAGAGTTTTCCAATGGAAAGTTTTTGTGAACAATAACTAGCTTTCATAACTTGAGGAATGACCATATATATTGTGCTGGTTGCTAGTGAAGGACGAGTTCTGAATGCTGAAATGCTTGAATGGGTAATCTCTGACTAATGTTAGCTTGTAGCTGAATAATAAACAATTTTAATAACCAGAAGCAGCCAACATTTTGTTGGTGGTGTTTTATATATATTTACCGGAAAAGGAAAGAGGAAAGTGAGGATGATATAAAGAACTCTTCTGAGTTGAATCTCCAGAAAACGAAAATTCATTAGCTGGAAGCCTGATAACATAAGTTAAGAGAGAAACCTTTAATGTGGGTATATGAGCCGAAACACAAATTTTCTTCAATATATAGGGCTTCATGTTCATCCAAACTCTTATTCGCCAAATATATATTTTTTTTCTTATTTTCTAAAAATTAGCAGTCTTGACATGTAGTTTCTTTTATGAGGGAAACTCGTGTCGTTCTGCTTCTAATTGATAAACTCTTGGTTCAAATTTATACCTCGAAGTTTTAAAGTTACCATTTTTTTTTTTCGTTTTGCTTTAAAGACGGTTTATCCTGAATTTACAGGTACAACAAAATTAATCAGCACCATGTACAAACAGTCCCCCAGCAGGAACCAGAGGTCCAAACGGCTGAAGCTCAAGTATGTTCTCCAAATCTGCTTGTTGTTAGCCGTTTGCTTCTGGTTGATATACCAAGTCAAACACTCCCACGACAAGAAACGAGAATTCGAGGAACTCGACTCGAAATCCTCCCTACAAACTAAATCTAACAACGATGAGATCTTAAAACTCGGGAGGAAAGACATTGCTCGCCTGAAGGATGAGGATATCATTGAAGAGGATGAGGAAAGCAAGCCTGAAGACGATGAGCCTGAAGAAAAAATAAAAACCAATAACGAGCAAGATAATATGGACGATCACGAACAAGAAAATCCGGATGACGCTGAAGTTGATAATAAGGAAGAGGATTCTGCAGATGAAGAAATCGAATCCCGAGAAGTTGAAACAGAAGGGGATAGTGTTGTGGGTGAAAATGAAAATGAAAATGAAAGTGAATCGGATGATAAAATCATGCACGAGGCTCGTGAGGAGCAGTACAAGGCTGACGATGCTTCTAGTGCAGTGACTCACGATGCCCGCATGGCAACTGAAAACTCGAACGAGCACGTGGAGAATGTTCTAGAAGAGAACAGCATTGGGAATGGGAATAAAACAGAAGAAACTAACGAAGAGGATAAAATTAGGGAAGATTTGGATGTGGGAGGTGGCGAAACTGGCGCGTTTGACCAAAAGTCAAACATCACGAACAGCGAGGCGAATGTTGATGTGTTGAACGAGTCTGAATTAAACCATGCGCCTCCGAATGACACTGTAGTCGAAGAAGGGTTTAATCGTAATTTGACAGGAAATGGCTCGGCTGAGGTCATAACAACAGAGAGACACGAATTAGCTTTAGAGGGAACCAATAATTCTTCTATCTCAAACGATAATTCTACTTCTAACAGTGAAAGTAAAGATGCCGAACCACAGTCTAATGATGGAATCTCGAATAATTTGACTGGTTCTGGCGAAACGAAAGATGGTGAATTGCAATCTGAGGATTTCTCGAATTCAGCTGTTAATGATAACGATAATAATACGGAGGCTTTATTGCCGGGACAAAATGCTACATTAGAGGCCTCTGTAGTTGCAGAGAATAGAACTGAGAATAGCAATAGTATTGAGCCTGAGAAAGAGGATATGAGTGATGGTTCGTACGAAAACTCAGAGTCCACAGGCAATGATAATCCCAATGAAGAAATTCAGCAGGATGGCGTTGATTTGTCGGAATCTGATGATTTGGCGGGTTCTGTTGAGGAGAAGGAAGTCCGAACGGATTTAGAGACTCTTCCTGAGATTCAAACTGAAGGGACTAACAATGATGACGATGTTGCTGCCGAATAGAAGATATATAGTAATTTAGTTTTGGGTTCTGTTTGAAGTTTTCAATCCTTTGTTCTGCTGTTTCTCTTTCGAACATCCGCCTCTGACTGTATTTTTCTGGTGTTATTTTTTTTTCTTTTTTTTTTTTCCTTTTTTTTCCCCCCCTTTTTCTGGGGTTGAAATGTTATATTGCTGTGTGGAGCTTCTGTTTTCTAACAGTGGTGGTCAAGTTTAGGAAAGTAGATGGTACTTTTAGGTTATCTTATGTAATTTGTACAATCAATGAATTTAGTATCGTTTGGATTACAGTTCTGTTCTCTCATTCTCTTGTTTTGTTTACATGCTAAGACACTGCATGTCAAGCAGAAAAATAAGCTGTAAGGGGGCTTTCATACAGTAAATAAGTTGAATATTTTTTGTTTTGTTCTTGGGTGGAAAATAGTACAAAAGTTGCATAATAATGTTGCGGCAGGTCTTGTGCTAGGCGGATTTAACCATTACGTCGATATACTTTATTAACAAATATGCATACTTTCATTACATGATGTCACGTCATACTTTATAAAATATTATAAACGGAACTACGATATTTAATAGTACTAGTAAAGTGCACGTGGTATCGAATGATTTTTGCTGAGTAAGTTTGTAAAATAAATTAATTTATTTATTAAACATATCATTGCAGGAATGAAATAAAATATAAAACAAATGAATTCATATGTGATTTTTTATTTATAATTAGCGTAATGATGTCCTAATATAAAAAGAGTGAAATAACGTTTTACAACCCCCAACTAAAATATATAAAAAACAAATCCTTAATACAAAAACCATTAAGATTTTCTTTCATCTTTCTTATAAGAAACATTCATACTCGCTGGAGTCTAATACATCAATACTATTGCAAAATTTCTCTTAATTCATTTGGCAAAACACTAATTTTATTAAAACACTTAAGAAACATTCTGACTGAACATATAGTCAAATTTCATGATCGTATAATCATTATAATAAGGCACTTCTACTAACGATGCATAAATATCTCTATAAAATAACTAATTGTGTCATTAAAATTGTCAGTATTTTTTTATCATTGTATTAACTACTACATTCCTTTGTCTCTAGACATATTGGTGCCTACCCCATTGATGCATCGCCCTACGAGGTGGGAATGAATTTCATCTCTAAATAGAAGTTGACTTTCCAAAATTTTGGTTACATGTACTTCTCCCGAGGTGCTAAATTATTTTTTGAAATCATCATACATTACCTGAAAGTACCTCTAAAATAATTGCACATATGTTCGAGTACAATATACCAATGAGATTATAAATATTTCTATATAAAGTAACAACTTCATTCGAACATTCAAAATTGTTTTGATACTCCGACATTGTTATTTATTTAGAATATAGACGAACAATATAACCTATTATTTGAAAATTATTGACCATCATGGCTGTTGGAATGATTTTAGAATTGTTTATCATAATATCTTTCACATTCGTTTGAATATGCAATATTTGTGTGCCTAATAACTTCTTTGATGCCTTTATTTTCCAACATTATTCATCATACAAAATGATTATAAAATTCTAAGATAAAGATCATTTCCTTATTCTCCAACAATGACAAAACAAAACAATTAAAACAATGAGAAAATATTGAGAAACATATCATTTGTTAAAATATTTGATAGGAGAAGAGTTACAATTCTATTATATTGCGATACTCTTAGTCATCTGCAAAGTTTATTATTATTGAGTCATGATTAAAATATACATTATGTATTACAAATTTTTTGATTTTTTAATTATTTAAAATTAAAAATAAATAATATAGGATCATTATTTATGAAAACCAATTTCTTACAGAGTCCCTATATTTAAACGCTAGCAGCAAGAAAGTAGTAATTTTCAAAGACTTTTTGTTCGTAAATATTGGTATTCATACTTCTCTAAGAAAATTCACACGTATTCTTTTTCTCATTGTGTTACTATTATATTATTTGTTTCTTATTCTATAGATAAATAATATTTTATTTGCTAAATAATTAAAGCACATTTATATGTATTGCGTTATGTTTTGTATGTGTTTTATATAATGATGTTTTCAAATTATCTTTTTTATTAGGATGCAACTACTATAATCACATAAGATATAATGTAAATTTAATATATTTGATGAAAATGTACTTTTTATATGAATTATTAGATTAAAAAGTTTATAATTTTTTCCAATGTTTGATAAAAATATTAGGTAACTAAGTCATTTTCATAATCACTGAATACATATATGGTACCACCTTTATAAGGTTCTTTTTCAAGCAGTAACTGAATAATAGTTTAACGTACAACTCATTTATTTGTCTTTTTAATTCACATAGCTAATTATCTCATTTCTCTTCTGTGGCCTAGTCTCTTCCTTCTTTTATCTATGATTTCACTTCGCTTCGCTTCGTTTGTACCTAAGGTGCATTCGCCATAGTTTCAGCATTACGGCAAACCAGTGTCAAATATATATCGGGAATGGGCGCTCTAGCCAAAATGTGAGAATAGTTGTAAGTTTACCTCCATTTTTTTTATATTATTTTTAATATGAATTGTTTCAAATCTATGTAAGAAAAATATATAACAAGTTTATCTTATGTTATTTTATACTTAATAAAATTGATTTAACTTGAATAAATAAATTAATATATACTATAATTTTAGGTCAATTTATTATTTTAAAATTATTACCTATATATATATATATCGATATAAATAATTATATTATTTTTATTTTATTTGCAATATATTGGTCAACTCAAACATTATTGAAAAGAAATAATGTGATATATTACATATAAAAAGAGTAACAAATAAAAAGTATGAAGTATCTCAAAATTAAAAAATTTAATGAGAGAAAGTAATTAAATTTTTAATTAAAAATTTTTAAGATTAACATACCCAATTTTAAAGAAATGTATACCTAAAAGTTCTAGTTAAAATATATGTGTATCTTAAGTATGTTTTATATTTCTCATTAGCCAGCTCCAATTGATATTGTACATTAAGTAATTTTATCAGTATTTTTACTCTTTGATTTAATGAGAGCTATAAGTTTTCTCATCATTCTTACCCCTTATTTAGTTATTATAATACTAATAAAATAATTAAGGACCTTTCAAAGTATCTTGTTTGTTTTGAAACAAAAATTACTTATTATCATAAATTAATCGACAATTACATTGAATGTGTTATATTTTCTATCATATCAAAATTTTTATAATAATTGTTGCACACAATATTATATAATACAAGAAAATGAGAAAATTCCAATGAAAATTACAACAAGAATATAACGATCTTAAGTTGAATTGAGAAAAATCATGTCTTTTGGTTTCTTAATATATTTTATCTTATTGTGACTGTATTGATTTATTAAAATGTATTACAAAATGAGAAAGGTGATATATTAATTTATAAATTACAATGACATGTTATTTTGATGGTATATTTTTTCTATTAACTAAATAATGCCCCCAATATGAAATTATTTTAGATCTATCACTGCAATTAGCTTTCCAATGGAATTTCCATTGAATTTTTGCACAATTCTAATGACAGTTTTTCCAACGATTGAAATATGGTTCAAAAAAAATCCAATGGAAATTCAAGTAATTGAAATCTTTAAATCCACTAAAGTTCAAGTAATTTAATTTGAACTTTGTTGGAATAGCCAATGAAATTTTTCAATAAAAGCAATATTTATGAAATATTCGTTGAAATTTTCTGTAGATCACCTTACCGTTGATTTTTTCATTGCACTATAGCAATTTGTTGTAGTCCTCTTAAACATTAATTTTTTATGTAGTATTTATTGATTAATTGTGTTTACAATTTTTCTATTAAAAATATATTAAACACATGAACTTTTTAGTTCCTATATTTTTTTTCAGAAATTACTCATTATTTTATCTCAAGATTACCTATTGATTCACCAATTCAATTACATTTCTTACATATTAAATATTTAAAAATTAGAATATTCCTATTTTATATGTTCAATATGATATATATATATATATATATTATATTAAAAATAACTAATATAGCAAATAAAAAGTTATTTAAAATTAGAATAATAAAGATTTTTTTTTTTGGTAACTTACATGAATAAATGTACAAATAACTATTGTCTATCACATCAAATTTACACATAAAATTATAAAGAGAAAAAACTAACAAGCGTTTAACAACTCAACTCGTTTACGTCGATAAGTATATTTATAAAAGGTTTATATTTCTTCTATTAATTATAACATTTTTATTTATTACTTTGTTTCATATTTATTAGTACGTGTCACAACTTATTTATTTTTAATATTATTTATCATATTTAATATTTTTTTAAAACTTTTATCTTGTTCTTTTACATGTTCTTAACTGTAGATTTGTCAAAAAAATGCATTATAATAAAGTCTAGAATTATTTCGACCATCTGCCTCATTATATATCAATTATTTGTGTATCTTATCTTATATTATATTTAATTACAATTTTTTTTAATTTATACTACAATTAAATATTTATAATTCATAAATTCATCAATAATATTGTCGAGTCAACTTTTGTTCATAAAATTTTGAAAAACATAATTATTTTCAATTATATGCTTATGTCAAATTAAGAAAAGTTATTTTTTTTAATTGTAACTGTATTGATGTGTAACATATATTATAGATGAGAAAGATGACAAATTATGAAAAATATAATTTATAAATTATAATGACATTATGTTATTTTACTGGTATACCTTTTCTATTATCTAAATAATGCCTCAAGTATGAAATTATTTTGTATCCACCACTGCAGGTAGATTTCGAATAGAACTTCCATTGAAATTCTTACATTTCCAGTGACATTTTTTCCAACTGTTGAAAAATGACCCGAAAAAAATTCAAACGGAAATTCACACAATAACAAATAATGATAACTGGATTAATTAAATCCACTAAAATTTGAATATAATATAAT